GGTTTCGTTCCTAAGCTTTTGCCACAAGATTTTGTATAGCACTCGATCAAACGCTTTAGACAGATCCAAAAAGCAAGCATATACCGGTGTTTTTCTATCAGTGTAATACCGCACAGTCTGCTTGAGGCACAGTATTGCGCTCTCTGTTGAAAGTTCCGGTCTAAAACCAAACTGCGCATCGTGCTCTTGAAAAGATTTACGTAACTGCGCGTCAAGCAGACTGTCGAGGACTTTAGCTGTTATTGTTGCCAAGGATATCGGCCTATAATTGGATCTGTCCGCCGCATCGCCCGTCCTGTTTTTAATAATAGGCACTACCACTGTTCTCATCATAGCCTCTGGAAGATAACTGTGGCTTACACAAAGATTGTACAGTAGCCTGAGGACTCTGGCAATGTGCACACCCGCATATCATGCGCTGAGGCCATCGTGTCCCGGCGACTTACCACGTTTCATGTTTCTAATTGCATCATTCACTTCCTTGAAAGTGAAACGCAAGGGGCTAATCCCCGAGTTCACGATGTCCTCACCGTCGTCCAAGCTACAAACTATCTTGCTAGGATCCACTTTGAACTGAGCCTTGAACATATTGGCAATGTTTTCACTTCTAGTTATGCCACCCACTTCTGCTGGAAGAGGCACCCGAGCGTTCAGGCCCTTCGTTTGCTGCCAGAACTCTCCAAATTTCTTCGCCTCACATGACATTGCCAATATGTCCACCTTGATTTGTTCCGCATTGTCTTGGCACCACTTAAGCTTGCTCTTAAAAGCCCTGCGCGAGTCTCGCATATCCTCATACAGAGCTCCACATGTCGGCCGTCCTGCCCAAACCCAAGTTTGAAAGCAGAGACGAGCCTTTATATGCGCCGGTCTCACATGTCTATTCCACCCTGTGATGTAGCCTTTCTTATTTCGTTTTAAACATTTATGGCTGTAACTCGCAGCATCCAGCCAATATAGATGTAATATCGTCATACAATTTCTCTATGATTAAGTTGTGTTCCGGTTTGTCACACATCTTATCAGAACAATCCTTCAATTCCGGCGGAAAGTCAAGTAGCCTTAGCCTGCTATTACAAAATTCAGCATACAGTTTTATCTGATCACTATCTCTGTGACCCCAGATTACCTTATTATCCGCCGTGTACTGAGCTGACTTCACTTGAGGTCGGACTAAGTTGAATTTACAGTAAACTTCAATAATTCAGACCATGTCACATTGGTTTTAACATGTATGCTGTCAATATATTTGCTAGCCATACTAGTTGTAAGGCAATGGTCTAACCAGCGCGAACAGCCGTGACTATCACTAATATATGTATATACATCAGTATTATTAGATAAAAATTCATAATCAGAACATACCCACGCCTGCTCGCTACAAAACTGAGACAATTCATTAAAAAATAACTCTCCAGGATGTGCGTTAAAATCGCCTAAGATAAAAACAATATTAATTCCGCAGTCCTCGACAATTGCATTAATTTCACTTAGGCATTCTGTGAACTCGAAAAAGATTATCGGTGCCAGTAGGCATATACACCGAGAAAATTAGCATAGTATACTCACGAAGCTGGCATTTGATCGCACACAATCTCACACTGTTACATTTCACTACTGACACGGATGAAAACATATTTCTACGCCATAATAGCGCGACGCCTCCGTGTGGACGGCCGCGCAAAATGCCGGCGCTTGTGTCTACAGCCGTTGTACCCGTTGCTTCGAAGTCTTTGTGTACAGTGCCAAGGTATGGGAGGTCAAAATCCATCAGCCAGGTCTCTTGAATAGCGACCACCGACGCTCCCTCGCATAAGCTTCTTACACAATCAACCGACCGCTTCAGGGACTTACAATTGAAACTGACTAACTTCAACGTGTGACATTTATTTTTATCATTAGTTTTGTGTTGGTCCATTAATATTTCGATCCTTATCTCGATTTACATTTGCCTTTCTTGCATGCCTAAAAAATATATAACGCCTGATAAATATGCCCTCCGGCCATAATTCTTTATTACTAAATAACGACAGTTTGCTCCTAGGTATCAAAAACTTAAAGGAACTATAGTCCCTAGAAGATTTCATATTTATCTTTTCTGGCACTATTCTTATCTGAGTCTTTTGTTGTATATATTCCGCTACATCTTGTTCAGTATTTTCTTTTGAGACATTATATATATACAACGGGATTTGTGTGTCCGCTGCTTTCAATCTCGAAGTCGAGTCTGTCATCGCTGTACCTCTCTCACCTTTGAAACGCGATGTACGTGTTCCTCGACGCCTCACTACACGAACCCACTCCCCTTCACTATCATTCTGCATACCACCTTCATTCAAACCAACCGCCGCCGCCGGTATAACACTGCGCCGTGACGTCACCTCATCGGTTACTCGATGCGCGAGCGCTTCATTGGTCACAGTGCCCTGCCTTATAATATCATTTTCGCTCCGGACACCTCGCTACGCACTCTATTTGGATAGTGCATAGGTGCGACAGGGATAGATGGTTCAGTTAACACCGCCGGTGCATCTCCCAGCATAGACGGTGACTCATGCACTACGCCCGAACTCCGTGACCTCATCGGAGGCGATGTGACATTCTCTAGGCCGGTCATTAACCCCGACGGCCCGCTATTACAATAATAACTTTCATTCATGCAATAACCGTCTCTTTTAGCATTTACATAGGGAGTATATTCTTTTAACTCAGAGGGAGATACCTTATCCCTAACATTACATTGCATTTCGCCTTTGCATTGCGTTTTATAATGTTCAAAATCATTTTTCGTGATAAAATCTTCTTGCTTCTCTTGCAAATCCCTTACCTGCTTCTGTATTACAAGTATATCCTTCAGGAGACGTGTAGCGTCGACGTGGTCAAATGAAACCGGCGGCAACTTTTGGAGATCCTTTGCCACAAAAATTGGGATGTGTTCGGGATCAGTACCTTTTAATGCCGAAATTATATCGTCTATGTTTTTCTGCTTGCTGTTTTCCCCTTTCCTTTTTACCAACCGCTGCGGAATGGACTCGAAAAGCAGACATTTCGCTTTAAAGATATCTTCGTCATCAAAAGACTGCCGGCAAATTAGAGCCAGGCTCACATTGTTCATTACATCTATTTTGTTTTGCACAAAACTAAGAACCTCATTCACCACTAAATTACAGTTGTTACACTTTAGGGTATTCATTATATCGCAAGAGGTCAGCGACCTCTGTCTAACCGCACGCGCTGTCAGCTGGTGACTGACAATATTATTATTATATTTAAATACTTATTTTTATTTCTTCTATGTACATACCAATATTTTTCAATAAACCTTGATTACATGGTACGTTTATGTATTGTGCAAAGTGATTGGATAAGCCTAAGTGTAAAACTTTTGAGCTGTAACCTTTCATATTTGTTATAATACTGTCTATGCAAGTTTTCGATTTTGTTGTTATCCTAGTTGGGTCATTTATTTTTAGTTTTAAGTTATATTTTTTAATACAGTATTTTTAAAAAGTGAACATTTTAGATTATTTTCAAGTAAATTGATATTAAAGTCACCAGCTATTATTAGTTTTTTAGGCATATATCTTGAATGTACAGTAAGTCTATGTAATAACAAGTGCAATGTTTTTATAAATATTTCAAAACTTGAGTCTAGAGTTCTGTAACAGCAAACAATAATATAATTTAATTCTGGCAACAGTGTACCACAACATTCAAGGTGTTTATCTAAGCTTAATTGATTTATACAAGGAAGTGAAATAAAATCTATACTATTATTAATATAAATACAGACCCCTCCTCTGGACTCGTTTCTACAATATGAGTCAGCAACTTTATAGCCTGGAATTTGTAAAAATTTAACATCTTGGTTCTTTAAAAAAGTCTAAGTAATACACATGACATCAATTTTTTTTTTCATAGTTAATAGAACCTCCATCTGGCTGAGTTTAGATCTCATGCTCTGAATATTTGGTGACGTATATTAAGACCAGTTAGAACTATTTCTGCTTGCATATTATTTAGTTTATTGTTAATATCCTGTGAAGGAACGAAAGAAGCGACAAGACGTCAATCTTTCCTTCACCGGACTAACAGGACAAGAGGTACTTTAAAAACAGTATATGTGTTTGACTGTTCTGTTGCAATATTTGACATTAATTTATTTAAGTCATTCAAGTTAATACGAACACCATTTTGCCTGAGTATTTCGAAAACATAGAATACGAATATTCCAAATATTTGTTAGAGTCCAGTATACAGCAGTATTTGTGTACTTTATTATCTGAGTATAATAAATTAATGAATTGCCTATTCAATTCTTTTATTGAAGAGCAATATTTATATGTCGGTAAACAAATAATGCTTTAAGATATATACAATATTTTTATAATTTTTGGATACTTTAAAATCAGTATCTCCTATAATATGTATATGCAAAAATCGTTAAGAGTGAAGTTAGCTAGGTTCTCCTGCAACCCACGTGACAGTTGGTCTATGTCGCCACCTGGTGTGCGATAGTGACAGTATGCGGCGCTCTGCCTCATCATGTTGTCTCTTATTATTGAAGATTGCTTGTGGTTCCTTATACCGCTGATTATACATATTGTTACGAGCTTGAGGTTCGTGACAATAAAAATTGCCGATAAAATTACCTAAATTAACACTTTAATTTTCTTTACACAAATTTAAACTTAAAACACTAATAATTAATCACACTGATTCACTTTATTTCGCTCCGAAGCTTCGCTTGTCTCGCCAAATTCAATACTTCCCCGATCGCGTATTGCAGCGCCTTTATATAGGGCTCCACGAAAACATCCAGAATATTCCAGAATATTTGAGTAAATACGCGCGCCAACCGACCAAGCGCAGAAAGTTCGAGTTCTTCAATTCGATACTAGATGGCGCTGTCGGTTGAAAGATTAGTGATATCATTTTCTGGAAAGCTCTCTCTTCGCTCTGTTACCCGACACTAGATGGCGCTATTGCCAGATCTCAATTTAGCCGCGCAACAATATATTGGGCTTAGTGTTAAATGTGTGCTTCTCTGTATAATTTATAGGCTTTGAAGTATCGATTATGTTATTTCTTGAGGTGAAGTCCCTTTTATTCGCATCTATGGGTATTGTAGCAATGTGTTTTTTATTACAGTCTTCTGGCAATGGTAATCCTTTTTTCGAAGAGGGATACATCTTAACTTTTTCAGACTGATTACCGAGCGGGGTTGACATACATGAGTTAGTTAGAACTTTACTAGGATTTATTTCGTTTACATTTATAGTTTTGTATAAATCTATAATTTTATCTTGCTCCTGATTTTTCTTATTTAGTTCTGTATTTATTGCGTTTAAGTTTTTAATTTCATTGTTAGCTATGTTGAGTTCTGTTTGTAATCTCATCAATTCCAATTTTAATACTTGCAAATTATCACTAGTAATTATTTGACTGAGATCTGGAAGACTATTTGTAGACATATTTGTTTAAAAAAATATAATTAATATAAAATTTATATAAAAATAAAATTATAATCAATATAAAATTATTAATATAAAATAGGTCATAAATTATATTTAAAAGATCATTCATGAATAAACTAAAATAAGAATAACCAATTATTTTGTATGAATTTAACTTTCATTCAAAATAATGAATTTAACTTTCATACAAGGTAGTTTTATTTAAAAAATCAGATGTAACAAATTAAGTAAATCCATTAATTATATAGTCTCCCATTAATGTGGGATAATCACAAAGACGGAAAAGTGGTAACATTAACCTAAATCGCAATATTCGATAATTTTATTTAATTATTTGAGGTTTTTACGTTTATATGAAAACATGAACTAAAACTTAAGTGTGGAATGTGATTCCGCTTGATTTATTATGTTTTGTGACCTTGAATCGCGTTCTTTTACTACGCATTTACCCATTTTGTTGTGGCGGATGGTTCGGCGCAACTGTGTCGGCGTCACATTGAATACTGAACTGATGTTAGCTAAGCTAGCTAAGCATATGGCTGTGGCCATATGTGCAGTGGCAATGCTTTGGAGCGGTAATTACTAATCTAGTGTAATATATAAATCAATGAGAACCTTTGGAAAAGTTTACTGCCATAGACCGTTTCCTCGCAATTTCTATTTTAACATAACGTTAATCAAATAAAAATATGTAGATAATTAATTAAGTATATATACCTGTTTATATTTTATATAATGTTTTGCTGATTGATGTGGGGTCATTGTAGAAGCGTGCTCGTCGCGACCCCTGCCAGCCCTTTTCAGGGCTGCAATTCTACACAGCTGCGCACCCATGCAAACGAGGGTTAGGGCGTCCCCCCAAGGCGACGCACATCAGCTCGTCCTCGTTGGTGTGGAATGCAGCGCGCAAAGCGGCGATGGGGACCGCCACCCGTCACGCACAACCCAACAAGGCGGAAGGTGGAGGCTGGAGTGCAGAGTTGGCACGTGGAATGTTAGAGGTGGCATGAGAGATAAGACGAATGAGTTGATCGAAATAATGAAAGAAAGAGATATGTCGTGTATATGTCGGAAATCAAACGGAAAGACAGTGGTACTGAAGAGCTCCCTGGCAGGACGTTAGCTATATGGTCCGGAGTCCCGGAAAACGAGAATGCCTGCCAGGGAGTGGGGGTGCTGTTGTCGTCCCGGTTGGTCGATCTTATCACTGAATATAAGGTTGTGAACTCAAGACTTCTCTGGGTTCGCTTTAAACTGGGACTGACGAAGTTATTCCTTTTGGCTGTTTATGCGGTAGCTTCGTCGTCCAGGGCTGAGCTGGAGGAGTTTTGGGAGAATGTAAGAGAATTTCTAGATTTTGTTAAGGGAAACAAAAGAACTGTTGTATGTGGTGATTTGAATGGATGGGTAGGTATCGCTCGACCAGGGTACGAGTCGGTGCTTGGAAATTTTGGCGATAAAAGGGTTAATGATGCTGGCAAGCTTATACTGGCTGTATGCAAGGAAAAGGGTCTTCTTGTGACAAACACTATGTTTAATCACAGGAAAATCCATATGTACACTAGACAAAGAAAGAATGACAGATGTATGGTTGATTTGTTCCTGGTGAATGACCGACTGCAAAAACAGGTGATGGATACACGAGTGTTCAGGGGTGTTGACCTGGGAATGGATCACTATAAAGTAATTACTAGATTTAGGGGTTTGTTAGGGGGTTGGCGCTACCGGACGGCAGTAACAGAACCACAGCCGGTCTGTCGCATCCGAAGCTGGAAGCTTCAGGAAGCGGATACTAAGGACAAATATCACACGAGGGTAGCCGAAAAGTTTGACACCATCGATGGTAGAAAAGAATGTGTGGAAAGAACATGGCAAAACCTTAGGTATGGAATGGTAAGTGCAGCGGAAGAAGTATGTGGAACGACAAAAAGAGGTAGTAGTAAAAGAAGAGATGGATGGTCCACCATGAATGATGAAGTGAGAGAAGCTGTAAAGAAGAAGAAAAAAGCATGGTTAGACTACTTGGCCTCTAGTAACGATAAGCATATGAGAGAGAAGATGAAAGAAAGATATAAGCTGCAGAAAGTTTATGCGAAAACATTGATTAAGACGAAAGGTTGTCGCACAACTTAAGGATAACTCCAAACTCTTCTGGAAAAGGGTTGGAAGGTCCCGGAGTGGTGCGACAGCCTTCAGAATGAACAAAGTGCTTTCGAAAACCAATGACGTCCTCTCAGAAAAATCGGACGTCATGCAGCGATGGAGCGAATTTTATAGAGAAATGTATGTGTGTCATGATCTTAGTGAAGGATCCGGGGTGACGCCGTGACTGGCACGCCAGACACGGACCTCGATGACACTGACGTCATCAGCATGAAAGAGATTGAACGTGCGATTCAAAGTGTGAAATGTGGTAAGGCTGCGGGACTAGACAGAGTTACTGCTGAAATGGTCAAGTACGGTGGGCCTCGCGCCTGACACAGCTTTCATCTGCTGTGCAATTTGTGCTGGCGGACGGGAGGTGTCCCGAATGATTGGCGATCCGCGGTCATTGTGCCTTTATATAAAGGTAAAGGTTCACATTTTGGCTGCGGGTGCTATCGGGCGATCAGCTTGACCAGTTTAGCAAGTAAAGTTTACTCGAAGTTTTTGACACGTAGGATGCAAGAGAAATCGGAAAGATTCTTATGGGAGGCACATTGCGGATTTAGACCTGGAAGAGGATGCACAGATCAAGTGCTTTCTCTCCGCATGATCACGGAAAAGCTTCTGACTGTTAACCAGAGGATTTTCTGTGCTTTTGTGGATCTGGAGAAAGCATTTGATAAGGTTATAAGGAAGAAAATGTGGGAACTGTTGCCGGAATATGGTGTGGATGGTCGATTGTTAAGGGCTGTGCAAGTCAAGTCACTTTAATATAACTGTAAAGCCTGTGTGCGGGTAGGGCATGACCTGTCACCCACGTTCAGCATCCAAGCGGGCGTAAAACAGGGTTGTGTCATGTCTTCCTGGCTGTTCATATCGTTTCTGGACAGCTGTTTACAGAAGCTGAAAAATAGCTGTTTGGGTGTGAAATTGGGTGACATTAAAGTAAATTGTCTGCTGTATGCTGATGATGCAATGCTTATTGCACCATCAGAAGCAGAACTGCAGGCATTAGTCACGTGTTTGAAAGAGGAATGTGAAATTAAAGGTCTCCGTTTGAATGCTAATAAAACTAAGGTTCTGGTATTTGAAAAGGACGAAGAGAGAACGAAATGCGAAATATGGGTAAATCAAGAACGTCTAGAACAGGTAAATGAAATTGTATACTTGGGGAGTGCTTTCAGCCGGGATGGAAGATGTGATTTAGATGTGGACAGGCGTTTCGCTGCCGGGAACAAAGTTAATGGTGCCCTGAATGCGTTAGGCAAAAGGCAAGGCGTAGAAAAGAGTGCACGCCTTACAATACATAACGCAGTGTTGGTACCGACTTTGTTATATGGCAGCGAAACCTGGGTATGCCAGAAGCATAAAAGTAAGTTGAATGCAGTGGAGATACGATCTATTCGTAAAATATGCGGCGTTACCATAGCCGACCGAAAACGAAACAAAGAGGATTCGCAATATGGCAGGATTGAAAGATGACCTTATCACAAAAATTGATAGGGGCGTACTCCGATGATTTGGGCACATTGAGTGAATGAGTGAAGACCGAATGGTGAAGAAAATATATAGCGTGAAAGTAAATATTAAAAGGTGTCGAGGTAAACCGAGACTAACTTTCGAAAATCATGTGAGCAAATTACTCGAAGAAGGGAAGGTCAAGAGTACTCGGATACCTAGACGTGCACGTATGAAGAAGATAATGAACCTGAAAGAAGCGAAAGATGTATGTAAGGATCGTGACACTTGGCGATCTGTTCTCTCTAGCTACCCCGTTAGGGATTGTGCGTGAAGATAAGTAAGTAAGTAATTAATTTTTGCTGATGAAATAATAAACGGGGACACGGAGTACATAATGGCTGCTATATTTTTCATATGAGTATTACTTTTAATACTAACATTTAATAATTAATAATTTAATACATTATAGAAGTTTATTTTAACATTCGACTTAAATATGAATGTAAACTTAATAATTTAACCAAGGAAACTTGTAGGCATCAGTTAAATAAGACTGCTCTGTTTAGGGGCTAATATGTTTATGAGGTTTCTCTGCTCCCTTTCATCAGTCCCTGAAAAATACAAAGTGATAATAAAGTTAATATCATTTTAGCTGCATGAATTTTAAAATCTTCACCGAGACTAGCCAAATTTGTTCTCTAACCTCCATGCCCATGACCATGGAGGTTAGAGAGAAGGAGAACGATCGCTACGTACTAAAGCACAGCCCGCCTGTCACTGAAAATTTGTGGAATTTATAGCGGCGCTGCCGTTGGTGAGTAGTGACTGCGAAGTTAGCTGTTTATGAGTACAAGTAGATGAAGTTAGTTGAATAATGTACAAATTTTCTTCGCGGCATTGGTGAGAAAATAATCGTGCTCCGTAATTTTTTAATTTTTGACAAAAATAAATATAAAAAAATGGAGAAATATTCTATTGTGGGTGGATGTGTGATGACTTTTATTAAGCGAACTTAGCGATCGCAGCGCCTCACTTATGGTGTCCACATTTCTGGGACACTATTTTCTACAGCGACGGTTCTCCTGTTCTCTATCCTTCATGCCCATGACTGACTTGACATTCGCCGAATTCTTAGAGAAGCGATAAAGTATAGAAGATGAAGAAGTTGATGTGCTTTAAAATTTTTTGTTATATTTCGAGTTTTTCTGTGACCGCATAGAGGTTAAAAATGAAACGCAGTGTTTATAAGAGCGGTACCAGACAAGTCGTATTTAAAGTCTCTTACTATCGTAGACAGAGAAACCTATAGCCAAATTGATGCCTTCTTTCGCATTCGCACACGAAAAAGATAGATTTATGCATACGTCTTGCATAGAAATGAGACAGAGCGG